GTTGTTGTTAGAGTTCTTGATTTTTGCCATTCTAACTGGAGTGAGGTGGTATCTCAATGTTGTTTTGATTTGCATTTCTTTTATGGCTAGGGATGTTGTTCTTTTTCTTTTTTAAAAATTGTTATTATAAAGGTTAGGTACCAGTGGCGCTGTGGCTCAAATGGTAGAGCACTTGCCTTGAGCTGAAGAGCTGAGGGACAGCGCCCAGGCACAGAGTTCAAGCCCCACGACCGACAAAAAACAACAACAACAAAAAAAGGTTAGGTACCAGTGGGGTTATAGTTACATAAATCAGGTAAAGAGTACATTTCTTGGGGCTGGGAAGGTGGCTCAGAGGTAGAGTGCTTGCTTTGCATGCATGAGGCCCTGGGTTTGATTCCTCAGCATCACATAAGCAAAAAGAAAAATGCTGGAAGTGGTGCTGTGACTCAAGTGGTAGAGCGCTAGTCTTGAGCTGAAGAACTGAGGGACAGCGCCCAGGTCCAGGCCCAGAGTTCAGGCCCCACGACCGGACCCCCTCAAAAAAAAGTACATTTCTTTTTGGACAATGTCACCCCTTCCCTCGCTCCCAGTTTTTTCCTTAGCATTTATAATTTCTAATAATTATTGTCATTTCTGTCTTTAGTACAAGGCAAACAATGGTCTTCTTTTATTCCCAAAGGCAATCTCTGTCCTCTTACTGTAATTTATTATCATAGAACTTAACTGGAGAATTGTTACTTTGAGATAATACATTGTTAAAGCAGATCTGGCTATATTGTAGGGGCTTCCTTGATATTTGGGGATCTGTGTCCCCAAGTCTAGCAAGCATACTTGCATCTGGCCACTTAGATAAAGCTGAGGATAATGAGTAATGTGTGGAGTGTTTTAGGACAGTAGTGGCCCAGCCTTACTCATGAACCAATGAAGTTAAATATGCCTCCAGTTGTTGTGCCCTGACAGACCGTACTTGGTCGTTTTGAAAGTAGGGAAATTGCAGCCCAAAGAAGCCTGGGGTAAGATTGCAGAGGGGTTTTTCAGGTCAACAGGAAGGCTAAAATTTTTTGTAAATTAGTTGTACACAAAAGGGGACTATCAGAGCCCAGGTGTCCTTTGCAAGATGTATTTCAGGTTCGAGAGAAAGAAACAAATCAAGAAAATAATCTGAAGTACAGGTGGGATCTTATTAGAGTAAAATCCATTAGTCGTAATTATACTACAAGACATTACACTAAAGCTGGTGCTGTTCTCAATACAGTAAAATGCAAATGCTGGAGAATTAAGGCTCATGATATCATTGAAGTTCACATTAACGTTTAATTTATGTTAATTGCTAGCAGAAAGGGCTCCATTTGCCACACTAAATGCTTCTGAAATACTTGTTTGGTATCTAGTATTTATAACTTAAAGCAGCTGTGTCTTACCCTCCAACTCAGACAAGGGTGAATTTGCTTTCAGATAATTCCAGTAGGAAACTTATCTGAACCCCACTAATGTAAGAAAAGATTGATACAACCTCTGGTGCCCTGTAAGTCTGAGATTAACAGGTAAAGAGATCCCTGCAGTTGCATCTTTCCCCCTTTATCTCCTCTTGTAATAGATACAGTTTTAATTTATATGTAATTTTTGTTTGTATTTGAGTTTTGCTTACAACTAACACTCTTCCTCTTAAGCCATACTGCTACTTCCCGCTTTTTGGTCATCAATGGGAGATAAAAGTCTCATGGACTTTCTTCCCTGGGTCTAGGATCCTTAGAGCTCAGCCTTCTGAGTAGCTAGGATTATA